AGCATATCCATGGAATGAGGCAAAGGTGACTCAGCAGACAATTCCCGAGAAAGAGGAAAGGTGTCTTCAAGACGGGGGTATTCCATCCCAGAGATGCTTTCTGTGTGAAAAGTTATAATGCTGCTGTCCTCTAAAGCATCCAAATTAATGACATCTTGATATTCTGGCAAACCAGATGCAACACTGGAGTCAGTTGTAGTGCAAAGAAGAGAAACACTCTCACTGCTTTCATTTGGAAATACTGCGTTGCTTCCAACATAAATGACATCTGAAGCATTTATTTCTACAGCATCAGTTTTAGGAGTGCTAGAAGTATGAGAATGGTCAGGTGTGTCATGTGTCTTTTCACTTTCTTGTGCAGCTGTGACACTGTTCAACTCCTGATCAGTGTCACTAGCAAGAGCTCTCTTCGTGGTTGTTAAATAAAAACGCAAGACTGGTAACTTAGTCTTTTCATACAGTTCACCGGTGATACTATCTTCTAAGGTATGCTGCTGAAAGTCTGTTAAATCAATATCAAAATCAGTCAGGTTTCCCTCTGCATTTTTTCCACCAGGAAAAAAAAGCTGCCCAGCCTTCTCAATCAACTGCTGTTTTTTACTACCCTTTGGCACACTCTCTTTTCTGGTTCCCCCACCTTTTTTGGTTCGTACCTGCACAAATTCCCCTTCTCGGAAGTGCATCCACCCTAACTCAATTTTTCGCTGGTTCTTCTGAGCATTCCTTAATGAGGTTTGATGCTCTCTCTCAAGCACATGCTCTCGGTCCCCTTTCTGTCTGAAGACCATGCTCAGACATCGCTCAAAGAGTTTTGATTTGCGAGTGCTGGGATCTTTGTCTTTCCGCCTGCAGTATCCAAACACAGCCAGTCGATCACCATAGGACGGTAGATAATGGCTTAGCTGGTCATCTGTCATGAGACGTATAACACTGGAATCAATCTACAATAAAGAAATAATGCATTTTTAAGTTAAAGTACATTAATTGACTGTTGATGTCTTATAAAAATGAACAATCTGCAGGCAGCACACCAGATATAGCAGTCTCTTCAAAACATTGGGTTTATGATGTCTATGTGATTTATCAAAATGAAAACCTTTTCTATACAAACTACCTTATCTTGTTCCATTCGCTGTATGTCTTCTTCGGGGACATGCCGTGACCTTAAGTAGTCAGTTAGCTCATCCATCCTGTCACAGTTCAGCCAAACTCTGCAAAAAAAAAAATTGTTAAATGAAATTAAATCTAAAATGTGGCATTAAAAATTA